TGCAGCCTGGCGCTGCTGAGGCGTTAGCCTCAATGCTGTTGATGCGTGCGAGAGCGGAGTTCAACAGTTGATGCTGTTGCTGCTGCTGTGTTGCTTCGGCGCGGATGGCAGTTGTTAAAACAGCAATGTCTTGCTGGTACTTTTGTCGCTGCTGTCGTTCCGTGMGCAGATGTGCCTGCAGCAGTGTGTTATTCCACATGATGCCTCTCATCATGCCTAGCATCAAGTTAGCCAGGTGAGTCCTCTCTGCCTCCGCCGGTGTCGGATCTGCCTGCGCGTCCGAAGGCACAAAGATCATGCCTTGGAGGAACGTTGTCCACTGACTTTCACTATGAATCAGGGACTCCGTACTGGCGGCATTCCGTTGGTCTCGTGCCGCTGCGTCAGCCTCAGCATTCTGCTGAGCTTGGGCTGCCGCCTCAGTGGCCAGCCGCTGACGTTCTGCCTCTGCTGCCTCCTGCTGAGCCTTGGCAGCAGCTACGGCATCTGTAAATACCTGTAGCCGCCCAAAATAGTCAGCCAACGGCTCACTGGCCCTTCGGACCGGGCATGCGGGAAGAACTCCGGTGGTGTCCGGTACCGTCAATGTTGTACTCGATGCTGCTGGAGTCGTCCGCCTGCTGAGTCTCTGTTGCTGAGCCTTGGTTCGTGGAGGTACCGTAGGTCGAGCACGAACTGCGAGCCTGGCACTGCGCCGTGGCAGTGCCCCGGTATCCTGTTCCATCGACATCAGTGTGTACTGATGCGGTACTTGAGAGGTCCCGATGGTCACAGAATAAAGGGAGGGTAGGGAGAGTGGGAACAGGGGTAGAACAATCAAACAATACGCATACAGTCCCCTGTCCCACTGATGGACTGTCGACACCTAATCAAACAGAGAAATAAATTTCCCGTAAACAATTCAAAAATTCGTAATAAGGAATTAATAACGATTTAATGATAGATAATCGAAATACTCCTAATGATGATCAATAAAACAATGTTTGTAATAAAGATAACCAATAATCATTATTTGCAATAAAGATAATTAATAAACAATAATTGCAATCATGATACTAACGAATTTGAAAAGGTATTATGATTAGGTCTCTTTGAGATCACTTTGAGTCCGGGAGTTCACTGTTAATGAGTGAACTACCCGGAAGTTGCAGTTTGAGGGTCAGATACGGCTTAGTGTGCTAAAAAAAAATTCGGAAAATTTCAGAAGAAAAAA